ATGTCACACAATAAATAGAAGAAAGCTAAGAATATATGTAAAAATATTATCTCATAAAATAAAAGAGATTATTTGTACGTCACTGAAGATGACCCGATAAGAGTTGAAACGTTTGTATATTTATTTGATAAATTTTTATTGTTAGCGACTATTATCGATTTATGGCTTTTTATGCAAATTTTTTAAAAGAGATCATTTTACAAAGGCAATATAAGTACAAATCCAAAAAATATATTTAAGATATAAAAATAAAATATTTTGTAGATGTTTTCAATATTCTTTAGATGTTAGTTTATGCAGATGTAATATGCATGGTTGTTTTACAAATTAAATTTTGTTTCGATTATTCATTAATTTTTATAAGTCAAGAAATTTTTATATTTAATGTTATACTGAAAGAAAAGATTGGTTGCTGCAACAATTTAGGCAGTAAAATATAGCATTTTTATATGGCTGCAGCAATCAGTTTTTGGTTGTAGCAGCAAATTTTTAGTTGCGTTAGCCTATCAAAATCATATACTGATTGCGAATAGGTTAATACAATTATAAATCGCACAGGATAATAGTCGTTAACAATAAAAATTTATCGAATTCAAATAAATATACAAACGTTCGACTCTTATCGGGGACATATATAATATATATTTCTTTCAGTGTATATTTTTATGTTATATGTAGTGACTTTTTAAAGTATATACTGCATCAAAATTTTTATATATTGTAAGATCTTTTATATTTTCAAAATCTAGCATTATATTTATAAAATATTAGGTGTTGGAATTAATTCGTAGCGTTTTAATATGTATAAAATGTTCTCTCTGTCTCTCTCTCCCCCTCCTCCCCCTCTCTCTCATTCTCACTCTCTCACTCTCACTTTCTCACTTTCACTGTCTCACTCTCTCTCACTCTTTTCCTTTCACTTTTAAAGTATATTTTTGAATTAGCAGATAAGATAATGTCAATTTTACTAGAATGCAAAGTAAGTTAAGAGAAACAAATTGTTAGACTTAATTCCATCAATTCCATTAAGGATAATTCAATAAAGTTCTCGCAGCATGTAATAAGCACAGAAAGTTTATCTGCAAATTAACGTTAATCTGATAAATAAATAGCAGAACGAAGAAAGCGAGGAATAAACAAACAGAAAAAGAGAGTAGACGGGAAAAAATGATATTGTATTGTTAGCATTATTTTAATTAAAAATGATCTTGTTAATTTTATAATAGCATTAATAAAACAAATAACATTTTAAAACAAAAGCATAAGGCCAATTTTATTAAGGATCATCATACATAAAATAAAGCTGCGCAATCATAGCATAAAGCCAATGAATATCTGTATTGATATGACATTTTTATGAGATTTTTAAATAAACTTTAAGATTTAAGTTATTTTTCTACAATTTAAAACTAATAAATGATATTTTACTTTTTTAAAACAGTCGAAAAACGATAAATATATATATAATTATAATTTATTATATTACTAATACTCTTTTAAATTTTTATAAAGAACTACAAAGTTGATTAGATTTACAAAATTGAATATTGACTTACGGTTTAAAATTCAATAATAAAGAACTAATATTATAATTTCCAATATTACAAAGTTAATTTACATATATTTTTCAAACTAAACGAAAAAGGATTTTCCAATATTCTATAATAATCAGTATTGTTGAAGAATACATGCATTGAATTGAAAAATATACTTTGTACAAATCGAAACGAATTGAATAAGCTATGAATGCGGATCGTTAGTAGAATCAACAAATCCTGAACCAACAAATTTTCAGCACGAAGAAGCAGAACTTCATATTCTTTTCGAAATTGTGTTTGTCTACGGTAACTGTACGCGGATTAAGATGAATAAAAGATGAAAACTATCAGAAAACTAGAAAAAAATTCTTCCTAAAAAAATATGGAAAACTATTTAAAGAAAAACATTTCAGCTATCTATAAGTCGTTATCTTTTATGATGACTGATCCGTATAAATTTTTGAGACAGCAAAACGAGACAGGACGATTACAGATGAACTGATAAAACAATAGCTTTTTATTGCGAGAATACACTAGAATTTCAAAATTTTCCAGAAAAAATATTTGTTATTTAATACTCTCAAGTAATTATTGGCGGATTACGAAAAGTAAGATCTCCTAAACATGTTTGTATATCAAATAGATATATTAATATTAATACATTAATATAAAGAAATAATCATAAGAAAAAGATCGTTTTATAATTCACTATCTATTTACGTGAACATTATTTATTTGATCTATTCAGGCAAATCTTTTATTCCATAGCATAAAATTACAGAAGACGCATTCCAAAATAATGAAGTAATTCTCATTCCGTAGGGTTTCCGAGGGCCGTAAATGTGAAGAGTATAGTTCGTAAAAAAGTATATATCGTATAGATCGAGAGACAAGTATATTTATGGGCAATCAATATTATTTTATTTTGAAATTGACAAAGCAACAAATGTGATTGTAACTTTTGAAAATTAAAACAGATAAATCTCACTTTATCTCCTTATCTCTTCTCTATCGATATCAAACCTCATCTCACGCTGTCATAGATATATGCCATTTGATTTGCAATATTTGTCGCGATATTTCAGTGACACGCGACAATACAGGATTTATTATCAACGACGAACTATTCACGCGAGATTTTAAGGTAGATTACATCTTAAAATATTATCAAAAATATAAAAATTTTATAGATTCATTATTACGTCTAAATATCTATATAAAATTTGAACACTTTCCTTATTCTCTTATTGGTTTAAAAATTTTTATTTTTATTTTTATTATTTTTTTTTAATTTTGATTCTTATATAAAATCGTGTTTTGTAATACTTATTTATAAATTTGATAAGGAAGTAAAAGAATTAAACATACTGATCCACAATAATAAATATTCATGCAAAAATTTATTTGGCTTCATTTATTCTTTTAAAAGTTACCTAAAACTGCAGAAAAAAAAATATGGTCATTATGCTGTATAAAATCATTATAAGCTAAATTATTTGCTGTTTTGTTTTTTGTAATTGATTTCAGAATATATTTCGATATCATCAAAAAATTTTGAATAATATTAGTTGATATTAACTTATTTTGGCTGATTGTTGAGCTGATTTTGGCTACTTTTAATAGAGAAAGCAGCTTTGTAACTGTTGTAAGAATTTTTTTAATATCATTAGTTAATATATTTAGATCCCATGAGGAACTAAGACTAATCATATGTAAAAAATTTTACAACACTTGCAAAGCTGTTTTTTTTTTGCTAAAAGCAGCCAAAACGTCTTTAAACTTGCGCCAGCAATATGCCATTTGGGACAATTCGAAATTTGCTATTTGTATGAGATTTACAAATAGTGTGAATAGACATATTCATCGAATTCACATTTGTCGTTTACCATTTATGACAATTCGATAGCGACGTGACTTCTTTTGACAAAATCAAGAGACACGTGTCACCATGAATTGTGCAGTCTGACGCAAGCTTTATTGTATTAACACCGCATCACTTGGTAATTTCATCAGGAGAATTTACTCGGCTTTTAATCAGACACTCCACGATGTCCTTCGCACGACATACACGTTTTATGTGATTGCACACAAAAGAAATTAAGGAAACTAAATATCTAAACAAATATACGCAGAATGTCACGAAGAATAACTCCATTTAAATGAAGGTTTTCAAAAAGGTTTTTTATTTTAATTTTAATATATGCATTATAGAATTATTAAATTATATCGATTTGTTGAATTTTTAATGGAAAGAAATGATCACAAACAAAAATCTTGGATGAAATATCGTTTAAGATGTAAAGACGCAACAAAAAGAAATAAGGCAATTACAAACGATCAAGCAGGATTTTTAGTACTTAAATAATTCAGTGTGAATTTACATATTACATATCAACTCCTGCAAAAATCTTGGAAATTTCTTTGTCTTATATAGTACAATAATTTATTATAATTAATTCATTTGATATAATAATTTATATTATATAATATGATCATTTTAATGCGAATTACAAAATTACAGAATAATAGCATCGACTATTTCAAAATTTCAACCGAGTAAAATCTTGAAAGTTTACTTGGCTTATCGCACGTTATGTAGATAATAATACTGAATGTTTGTTTGATACACGTAACTATTTATGATATAGTTTGCATCCCGTATCTTATATATGCAATATTATCATCAACACTATGACTTTGATAAAATCTTACTTATAATTTTATTCAAAATAATAGGAAGGTTTAAAATATTACCTAGAAGACTTTATGACTTTTTAAACGTCCTTTAAATGTCTTTCGGATATTTTTTACACTTTTCCATTATTACTTGGAATCTTGTGATATTTTATCTTGACTTTTCTTCATCATAAAGATTTATTTGATATTGTTATAGATTAAAAATCGTATTGGAGATATTAAATGTGAAACTGTATTGGAGGTATTTAATATAAAATGGAATTGATTTCTAAATAAGACAAATATTTAAATTAAAAAAAAAAATTAAAGAAATACAGTTTTTTTATGATATGGATTGAAGTATCTACGGGTAAAGTATCCTTACTTGCCGCCGTATCGGATAACTATAGAAGAAATTATAAAACATCTATAAACAATACTTTACAACTTTTACTTTAAATATTTTATATACTATTATCATTGACAATGTATATATACTTATAATAAATTATGTAATTAATCATTAGCCTTCAAATATATTATAAAACAATCGCGCATGCAAAACTAACGAATAAAGATCATTAATACGAAGTAAATAATTGCAAACCAATTTCTTCCAATCAAATTTCAATTATTTTTCGTTTGTGCATTTTATTTTTCTTTTGAGAGAATCATTTTTTACTCGTGGCGCGCACAGAGAGAGAGAGAGAGAGAGAGAGAGAGAGAGAGAAAGAGAAAGTTACACGCGCCTGTATGAGCGCGGGTGAAACTATTTAAAGGTCTTACCTTCTACGGTCGTGAGCTCCGAGGGATTCGGTAGACCCAGGGCTGGCTGATCGAGGATAATCCAAGAGGAGACCAAGACGACGCAGAGCAGCCGCACAGCAGTGGTACTGCAGGGGTTGGTCCCCGACGTCGGGTACGTCGGTGACGGGCAGGTTATCGCGGCGACGCTCATCTCTACGACTGTTGGCCCCCCCGCGGGTCCACGCGGCACACCTGCGGCCTATGCACGGCACGCACGCACGCACCCGTACGTCGCGTACCTGCACGCCCACGCAGGTCAACCCTGCCTGGCCTACTTCCGGTATCACATCTCCGGCCGATCGCGGAGGTGCGCGCGATCGATGACGCGCATAGTCGCCACCGCAGAACTCGACGCCGTAGCTTTCTTCCTCTTATATCTCTATCTCTCTTTTCCTTCCGTCCGCGTGGATCCCCCCCGCAGCTTTAGCGATCTAGCGGTCCTTGTTGTCGTCGTTCAAAGCGTCACGCCGCCGCGTCTGGCGAGTGGCGCATCCAGACTCCCTCGCTTGATCGCGAAGGGTTGGCGCGTGCGATTCCGAATCGGACGACGGAGGCGCAGTTCGGACGAAAGCGAGATGGTGGGACCGACGATCGTGCGCTCGCGCCGTCGCGTCGCGTCGCGTCGCGTCGCGTCGTCGTGTACGTACACTGTGCGATTGTGCCGTAGCGGGAACCGGAAAGGCACGGGCACCAAGCAACGACCGACCTGACTCACCCCGACGAGGGTCGTCGCGACGCCAAGGCGCCGACGTTCTGCGCAATACGTCCGAGCCACGTTTCCACCCCCTTAACCACCGATGTGATATGGTATGGTGTGTTGTGGTGGCGGCGTCGCTCTCCGTGACATCCATCCCCTTCAGGCCACCGTCGTATAGACGGCGACGGAGTACAGTGCCTCTGAGTCATTCTTCAGACAAGACTCGTCCGGTGTACCGCCACTTAGACGATGAGAACGTAAAGCGACATTCGTCGTAGTCCTCGTCGTCAATGTGTTGTATGTACGTGTGGCGATGTGCTGGTAACGTGTGACGCAGCGCATAAGACACAATCATGCACCCCGCGCTACATCCCCACTTCTAAGGGATGCACAATCGCGTAACTTTAGCGAAACCGCGGTAATATATCAGGGGGTAGACAGTTTCGCTACGTTACATAAATATGAATATAAATATCATATGATGCCGGGGAATTTGAAAAGTATCTTCATTTTTCTTGATCGATCACTTTCTTAAATAAGACGGAGTGATGACAGCCGCGATTCACAACAAGCTGAAAAAATTTTGATATGTTCGAACTTTAAATGCTTTACATTCTCAGATGTCTACTTTGAATTTATTCAAATGGAGTTATAAATGAAATATGTTATTAAAAGAATTTATTAATTTATTAAAAGAATTATTAATTTATTAAAAGAATTTATTAATTTATTAATTTGAAAAAGCTATTATTTATTACACAACTTTTAATTACATATGTAATTAAAAGTTGTAATAAATAATAGCTTTTTCAAATTAAATTTACTTCGTAAATAAAGTAAATGAAGTATGCAATTTGTAGAAATTGAGTTTCATCAAAGTTTTATTTTTATTTGTTTTGTATATGAATAAATCAATTTATTAATAATTTATTGGCAATTTTATACGTATTATCATCATGTATTAGGTGTTGGAATTAATTCGTAGCGTTTTACAAGTGATGGGAAGTACTTTCATTAATGTATTTTTTAATGCTCATGTGAAATAAATAACATTCTTTCATTAAAAAACGCTACGAATTAATTCCAACACCTAATATTATATTAACAATTTTTATATACTATTATGTATATTGTATAGTAAGTATTTTTAAATAAATGAATGAATTAAATTTATTAACTACTTTTCAAAAAAATTTCTTTTATCGAAACTCGTTTTGACAAATTCTTTGCAATTAAAATTAATAAAAATAATAAGTTATAACTGACAATTTTATTCTTGAATGCTTTCTATCTGTTTCTATAGCCATTATCGCAAAATAGAATTACAATGAGTGATAAAAATTAAATTATAACATTTCTTAAATTATATTTCTTTGCATTTAATTTTCTTTAAGGTATATATTTTTTTCTCGGTATTTCGTCTGTTATTACGAGCATTAGTACACCATTAGTATAGAACTTTAACTTTGCATTATAAGTATGACGCATACGAGTATATTTCCATGAAAACTCTGGATCTAACCGTGCGATCATAATTTTACTTCTTGATCGATGGTTTGCTACATTATGACGTCAGTTAAACTTTGCCATACACATTGCTTATTCCGCAAACATGAAACGAGTACCAATTAAGATTAATATTGTGGATAACACAAAAAAATTATGTAATTAATACGAGACGTGAATAAAATGTATTGCACATTACATAAATAAAAATGTGTAACATTATACATTATCAGAATAAATAAATATATTACGTTTTATATATATATATATATTAGGTGTTGGAATTAATTCGTAGCGTTTTACAAGTGATGGGAAGTACTTTCATTAATGTATTTTTTAATGCTCATGTGAAATAAATAACATTCTTTCATTAAAAACGCTACGAATTAATTCCAACACCTAATACAATATTATACAATATTAAAAATGTATAGTGTGTAAACGAAATATTACTTCCTGTTGATGTATTTGAAAATTATTCGTGTCCAAGACAGTATTGTAGTTGTCAAAAATCACATTTTATGTTGCAGAATTTTAATTCTTTATATGAAAATAATCCATATTTTACAGGTGTTATAATTTATAATTTATAATTTATGGACACTTATTAAATATACAAATTGCGTATATCGAAATTAAACTTAATACAAAGGAGTGATCATAAATTACTGTAGAGATGCGCATAAATTGTCAAAAGATCTTTATAATTCGCGTAGGTGGAATTTAATGGACGACACAGCGGAATCACACTAACTAGTTCATCAGGAATCGTGCACACATGTCGATCAATTTCAGATGATAATTATCGGCGTGCTGACTAGTTACATGGGACACGGACGCTATAATTATATTTCAATTCTAATGCAATGTAATGCTGCGTCACCGGGTCGCCTTAATATTAATTGTGCATATCACTACAATGTCATTCGAATATATCTAACGTAATCTTTTTTTTTAAATGCTTTAGTATCATTGCAATAAATATTACAAATTAAAGTTCTTACTATTTATTTATGTATATACTTCATATTTTCATTACTGATCTTTTTTATATAATTTATAATTGTTGCATAGACTTACGCAATCTGTTATATGCATATTAGCTTTATCTTATTATATTTATTAATTAATTTTAATATTACCATACTTAGTTTTTGTTTTGCTTTTCTGATAACTGTGATTAATATTATGAACGAAAATATAATTTATTTTCTAGTTTATTATCATTCAATTTTTCATTCTGAATATACTGTAATTAAAGCGTCGCTTCCTTTTTATCCGTCCATTTATAACATCCATCCATATCCTAATAATAACCTCATTGATTATATGATATACTTAACTCTTTCTCGCCAAAAAGCAACGTATTTCTAATATCTCCCATTTAATTTTCTTTAAAATATTAAGCTAAGCTTGTGACAAACTCGATAATTAGTTATTCAAATTATTACATTGTATAGTAAATATAATAGTTTGTATAATTTATTATTCTGCGACTATTAATCATTAAAATAAAAAAATAAGAAGTGAAAAGAGCTACATAATGGGTGTACATTCATGTCAACATCTTGATGTCTATCAAGAGAAATATAACGATACGGGATCAATTTCCTGGGTCTCTTCGAGCAGAGCCAAAGGCAAGAGCAAGAAAAAAGGAGTCTTAGACTTGTCGGGTTTGTAATACCAGTGTGGCCCACTTTTACCCGACAAGCGAAGTCTTATGTAACGCGTTCCTCGATCCTTCTGCTCACGTAAAAGCGTGCTGAGATCCATTAACGGGATGAGGAAATGGCGGAACCCTCGCCAAGAAGCAGCAAGATGCAGTAATCCACTAAAGTTTACTTACATGTCCCTCCAATATGACGTGCAACAACGATTTTTAGAAATGATGTATAAAGTCAAGAATCGAATTTTATCGTAATAACGTTCCATATTATTTTTCTATGAAATTATTAAACGATAATTAAAATAGATTATACTTATTAAAAATTATAATTTGCATTACACATTTGCATTTGCATAATGCGCGAATAAAGCAAAAAGTAAACAACATAGTTTCCAACTACCTTATCAGCATAATCGCACAAACTTTAAATGATACAACGCTTTTAATTAAAAAAAATTGATATATATATATATATATAATTCCATATTATAATTTCAACTTTAGATAGATATTATTTTTTTAAATAAATATTCAAGAGATGGGAGGAAGAAATTTTATATCTTGTTATGATAATATGCATACATATTTTTGAAGAAAAAAATTTCGAAATATTCTTGTTTTAAATATTCTTTGTTATAAATTGTGTTATATTACAAAAGTAAAACGCAACAACAAAGTTATTTTACCAGCCGATTTACTTAAATGATCTAATATATGTTTAAACGAATTTCTTCATTTTTGACTCGAATTTAAATAATAATTAATGAAAGATTTTTGTATTGCAAAATTTTATGACACGACGAGAAATCGTTTATTTCCTTTTTCATCGAGACCTAACTGTTACATGTTTAGCCAATCGACTTGAGTAATCTTCCTTAATAGGATCCATTTCGAAGCAAAACGAGTTTTTCTAGGACGCCGCAGAAATAATAATTCACATTCGATCGACCGATTGATTATTAGAAAAACGTGCCTGACATGTCGAGAATTTCATTCATATATTTGCGACTTTTCTCTATTATTTTATTGAGAAACAAATAAACCAATAGTAGAAAAAGATATCTGATATAAATATTACGATAATTGTTGCTTAAAAATTTGCTCTCTTTAGAGAGAAATTAATGAAAATAAAGGAACTAACGAACACATAGAATGAACAATGTATCCGTTTCGATGATCTTTTATTATTTAAAACGCTTGGCAATTCTGCGATCATACAAAAATACAAGATTTATATAAAATATATATTGCATAACATGTCGCAATGTATCAAAATATCCAATATAAGAATAAAATTAAAAAATTTTTTTGTAAAGATGGAATATATCCTTTGGCGAAAGCACTTCGTCGACAAGTAAAGATTCAAACAGTATGCTGACGAATATTATTGTGCCACCTGTGACACAAGCTCGGACCAGAATGTCGCATAGTCCTTCAGTACAGTTCCACTGAAAAAAGTATATTATTAAAATAAATTATTGATATATATTATTGATATATATTATTAAAATAAATTATTAAAACACTTTTAAACATAAATATTTACTAAAACATAAAATTATATACCTAATTTTCTTCTACAATTCTCATAAACCCATTTTCAATTTCAAATATAGCAAATCGGAGCAGCCAATTTAAATTATTTTTAAATACATTTTAAAAGATATTACAATATAATTTGACACATTAATTATAAATACATAAAATATATATATCATAATAGGTTTAATTTTTTTTTAATGATAAATTCTTTAATAAATTTATTATTGATGAGGCGT